GTAACACCTGAGGATGAACCTGTAACACCTGAGGATGAACCTGTAACACCTGGGTCTGAGGTGATAAATCAGCTGGTTCCTTTCCAGATTCTGTAACTGGTTCTCTGACTGAACCGGACCTCAGGCTGCCTTCAAAATAAAAGTTTAGCAGCTGTTGTTGTACTGGATGTTTATTCAAATACAAACAAAAGTGATAATTTTACAACTTTAATACTCTCCAGTCTTTAAATTGATAGTTTTATCATTGATGTAATCTAATCGTTTGCTAAAGGTAATGTAATAATGTTTATATTAATAAAACAAAAAGCAAAATTATTTTAAACTAATGCTTGTAGATTGATGTAAATTATAGGGACAGTTAAAACATTTCATAAACAGCATTATTTAAAAAATCAGCTGAAGTTTTAAGGTGATTTTACTTGAAGACTTGAAAAAATTCACAAACAGCTGAAACGTTTCAGGTGTTTCTCTTCAGAACTGACTGACGTGAGTTCAAGTTATTTTTTATCAGATGAAGTTTACTTAATATGTATATTGTGAAAAGCTTTTATTAGAACTAAAGTCTCCAATAAGCAGTCTTCATTTTTCTGTTCCTGGTTTAAAAAAAGGCTTTTATGTTGAAGGAGCCAACCGGAAGTGACGTTCTGACTGACAGCTGGGTTTGGCTGCAGATAACGGAGCACAGCTTCATCTCTACGCATTTTCTGCTTCTGCTCCTCAAAGCAGCTGCCGGATCACGAAAAACCCCGACAGGAGGATCCGAACCGAGCCGAACCTGACCGCTCTGAACCGAACCGGACCGGTCTGAACCCGGGCCAGAACACAGGGACAGAGGGCCGCATCAGACCGGAGTCTTCCTCACCGGTAAGAACGGTCCCTGACCGGTGCGTGTGTCCGTGCACGTGCACGAGCCACGCCCCTCCCTGCTGCAGACACACCTGAGGTCAAAGCATCCTTTATTGACCTGGCACGCGCGATGAGGCGCGTGTGTGCCAGTGGCGCCTGCAGAAAATCTTTTCAGGGGGGCCACTGAAAACCCAGGGGTGCCCCCCAAACTGTGGTGGTCTTCTAAATGTTTACCAACAGATGTTTGTACTTTTACCTATAATGTTTATGAGTTTATAACGTTCAGCTACAGTCCAGTTTAACTCACTCTGTAGTACCATGTAGTACTAACATTGTTACATATTTCAGTGACATCACAAGTATTTGTATGACGAGGGGAGGGGGGGGGTCTGGTGGTCCTCCCCCAGAACATTTAAAATACATAAATGTCATTTCCTGTACTCTGGTGTATTCTAACAGGCTGTTAAACAGATGTGTACCTACAGCAGTAAACACCTGGTGTATTCTAACAGGCTGTTAAACAGACGTTCACCTACAGCAGTAAACACCTGGTGTATTCTAACAGGCTGTTAAACAGACGTTCACCTACAGCAGTAAACACCTGGTGTATTCTAACAGGCTGTTAAACAGACGTTCACCTACAGCAGGAAACA